GTGCTGGGGCGGCCGGGGATGGGGGGAGCCGGGAAGGGGCTTTGGGTGCCCAACGGCACTTGGCCGCCGCTTTTCTATCTATAAATAGCTGACCGGGGGGAAATCCCGGACATTTTTAGATTTTTAACCCCCCCCCTCCCCCGGACGGCTATTTATAGACTGAAAAGCCGGACATGTCCGGGGAAATCCGGACATATGGTAGCCCTACCTTAGCTGGAGTATTGTAGCAAGGAAGATTTGGGTTAAATATGAGAGAGAACTTTTCAACTATAAGGGAGTTAATCTGGGAGAGTCTTCAGAGGAAGGTTGTAGAATTCCAATCACTGGAGGTTTTTAAAGACTGGTTGGACAAACACCTGCCAGGGACCGTCTGGGTTTATTTTGTCCTGTGTCAGCACAGGGGGCTGGATTAGATGACATCTGGAGGTCCCTTCCAACCCTACATTTGTATGATTCTATAAGCTTCCCAGAACCTTAGTTCAGAGAGCTATGACAGAACTAGTTTAGTTAATCTTATTGACAAGATCAAGGGTGTTTTTATTTGTAATTTCCTTTCAACGTTCTATCACTGGTATCTCAGGCATTGAGGCTTTTTTGACTGGGGTGCAGATCACAAAATCTGTGTAGCAGGACTTCTATCATCATTCTCAAGGTCTTGAGTCTCTAAAAATTATGGAGTTCCTTCAGGAGTCATGGCTTAGCATCTGAGCATTTCTGAAACTCAATAATAATGTACACCCTCGTGGATTAGAAAACAGATCCCCATTGTTCCCTGGATTTTAAGTCTTTTGGATTGCCTGCTGGTCTGCTCTGCTGCAGAGGATACAAAGATACAGTGCTTCAAAGTCTTCCATTGGAAGCTGGATAGTCTGAGTGGGCTGCAGGGAAAGCCCTATGTAGATATTCTTTGAGTGCTTGCTCATGTCCATTCCACGTTAGTTGTGTGTGCTCGCCACATACACCAGTGCCAGAAGCTTTTCCCTTAGTGGTATCTGTAGGGGATTGGCTCTGGTGCCCTCTGGAGTGGCGTGCACATGCCGCGGTATAAGGGGCGCTGCTGGCTCCTCCCACCCTCAGTTCCTTCTTACTGCCAGTGACGGTGCTATTCGTTGCTTTGGCAAATTCTTCAGTTCAGAATTGTTCATTGCAAACTTTTCCTGTAAATAGATAATTTTTATAAATAGTTCCTTTAGTGTCGTTAGTTAAACTAGTTGGTAGTCCCGGATGGGACTTAGCCCAGGGATGGGGCATGCCCTGGTCTTCAAACCCTGCTACAGCTGCAAGAAACCTATGCCAGTCAGCAACCCACCCAGTAGCTGTCTAAGGTGCTTGGGGGAAACCCACATCAGCGACAAGTGTCGCATCTGCAAAAGTTTTAAACCTCGGACGAAGAAGGAGCGGGGCATTCGACTCCGGGCGCTCCTTATGGAGTCTGCTTTAACACCAGAACCATCTAGGTCGGACCTGCACCTAGCACTGCAGCCTCGGTGTGGAGTGCGCTGCCGGCGCCGTTGTTGGACTGGCGTCGATCCCTCGCCCCGGTACTGACCGGGAAGAGGAATAAGATGGGAAGAGGTCGTTCTGCTCCCCGCAAGAACAAGGAGAAAGCCAGAGGAGAGCAGAGACCCATGAAGAGCAACTCATCACCTCCAAGAGGGAGTGGGGCCCCAGCTGTGGTTGAGTGGGCTAGCCCATCCTGGGACGCACCTGCTACCCCAGATAGTGACACCGGCACATGATGGTACTGTTGACCCTGGAAGCCCTGCAGGCCACGCAGGAGATCATGTCCCTCCCAGAGCCGCCCACACCGGAGACAGCAGCTCCTAAATCCAGAGGTAAGCCTGCCCTGGGGCCGTTCCATCAGTCCCCTTCAGTGCGGCACCGCTCCCCACCGCAGGGAGTGTCCCATCAGCGTTCACCCACCCACAGCCACCGTGCCTTGCACACGGGGCTGCCTACTGGAAAGAGCCCCTGGTGTCAGTCCCCGGACTCAGGGCATCGCTCTTCGGGCTCGAAACACAGGTCGCCGGTGGCGTGGCGTAGACCTGTGGAGACACGCCTAACCCTGCGGCCTCAGTACCGAGTGCGTTGCAGTCACTCTCCAAGTGATCGGCACCACTCCTGCGAGGGTCATAGTCAGTCTCGGGACTCTCGGTACCAGTCCCCAGTGCGTCAATATGGGTTGAC